GGGTTAGCTTAAAGAAATTATCAGAAATATATTACTGTGGTGCAGTATGATATACATAATACTACTACAACAATTATTAGAACTTTTGTTTAAAAGAATAATCACACAATACGCTATTTCTTCCATGTTTTAATTTTAATAGTAAACCCTTTGTTTGCCAAAAATAAAGAGTTTAACTCTCATTTGATTGAAAGATAAATTAAACTGATTTATGCCTTCATTTGCACTGTACTGTAAATTAAAACTAACTGAAATTTCTAGTGTCACATAGGCCAAGACATTTCAATAGGCTATTGAACTAAGTGTGCCTGTAAAAGGCTATTAGTGTTATAATTTCATGAAAATAGTTACAGTCTTCTTAACAACTTCTAAAATATAGCTATGATAACAATTAAATTATTTACACTTATTATATACATTTTTTTAAGTTAATCCATTGATGTGCATTAGATGATGAATTGAATAGTCACCTCTACTATTGTAGGTTATGTTTTGGTCATCAGAAAATAATTAATGAGGAATTATGAGAGGTTATGCTATTACACATACATTTCTGACATGTAAATTATTGAAGCCAAATACTTGCATTTCCCCAAACTGTTTAGCTGTAGTACAGTATTCATAGGCTTAATCATGAAGCATACAGAGGAAGACAAGAGTAAGAGCAGTGTGGGAGTACTACACTCAACCAACACCAGGAAAGGCAGTTTTTGTCAGAGCCCTTGTTATTCTTAATTTTGACATTAATTTTCATTTTTACACCAGACATATATATATATCGGTTTAAAATATCGGTTATCGGTCTGCTTAATCTGTAATAATCGGTATCGGCATCGGCCCTGAAAAACACATATCGGTCGACCCCTAAAACAAATAGCACTGAACCCGATGAAAATCATTCAGAAATAACCCCATAAAAATGTTAAACCATGTAAAGTATATATCACATGAAAGAGCATGAAATGCTCACCTAAGAAAACCCTATACTGACTGAAGGGACTGAAGATGATCAAAAATAGAGGTCGACCGATAGTGGATACCGATAGCAAGGTTGGACCACACTCGCCGATACTGATTAATCAACCAATAGTTTTTCAAATGGATACTGTATGAAAACTAAAAAAATAAATAAATACTGAAGCATTCTTTGTAAATGAATAAAAATATTAATATTAAGTATAAATTATATATTGATCAAATTATAAAATGGAATTATAAATTATATATTGATATATAATTATATATTGATTAAAATTAATTCATAGTTCATTAACTAATGTGAACAGAAGCAACTTCAAAATGTAAAAATTAGTAGATTAACACTAACTAGATGACCATCTTTAAATATCTACACAAAGGCCATAGCATTGAAATTACATACATATAGAGACTGTATGTATGCTCTCACACTTTAATTGCTTCTATTCTACAACACTTGATGATTATCTAATCAAAATAACAAAATATGGCAGTCGCACAAAAAGAGTGAGCTTGAGTTTGAAGTTCAGTGTTTAAAAAAACAGAACAAACGTAAAGAAAAAGCGCGATCTATATTATAGCTCTCTATATGAAGCATACAGACTTTATTAGAGCAACAGAAAGACAAACGTTTCACTGAAAAAACACAATACACAATCTTCCAGTCCAGGGTGAAGTCTTTATGTACATTAACAACGATTGGGACAAATATAATGTAATTTAATGTAAAACGGTGTGAATGCGCTCTGTAGCGCGACAGGATTTCTGTCAGCTAAATGAACATATCGATGTGTTTTCTCACGTCACATCTTTAAATCTGCAACTTCACTGGTTAACAAATGCATTAATGTAGCTGGATGTAAACTAATGCAAATAGATGGTAACAATCGTGACATTAAACATTAGGGTCAGACTTGCATGTGTTTTGTTCACATTGTTTTAACCGCTTGAGGTGCTCCTAATGTTTGCGTCATCTAGGCCTGTCGCAATAATCAATATATCGACTTGTCGCACAATATATGTACATGACCGCAATAATTTTTGGTGACGCAATATATCGCCCATTATATTTACTTAAAAATGAATGTC